TCACAGCTCACAGCAACCTCCAACTCCTGGGCTCAAGTGAGTCTCCTGCCTCAACCTCCCAAGTAGCTGGGACCACTGGTGCCTGCCACAACGCCCAGCTATTTTTTGGTTGCAGCCATCACTGTTGTTTGGGCCCAGGCTGGATTCGAACCTGCTACCTTAGGTGTATGTAGCTGGCACCTTAGCCACTTGAGCCACAGGCGCCGAGCCCACAGAAAGGACTTAAATTATAAATTGTGTTTAGTGAAAATTTCCATCCAGGAGCTTTTAGGGGGGGGTTTAGAGACAAAGTCTTACTTTATTGCCCTTGGTAGAGTGCTATGGAGTCACAGCTCACAGCAGCCTCCAACTCCTGGGCTTAGGCAATTCTCCCGCCTCAGCCTCCCAAGTAGCTGGGACTACAGGTGCCCACCACAACGCCTGGCTATTTTTTTTTGTTGCAATTTGGCCAGGGCTGGGTTTGAACCCTCGGTATATGGGGCCAGCACCCTACTCACTGAGCCACAGGCACCACCCCCAAGAGCTTTTCTTTTTTTTTTTGAGACAGAGTCTCACACTGTCACTTGTCACCCTGGGTAGATACTGTGGTGTCATAGCTCAAAATAACCTCTAGCTCTTGGGGTCAAGCGATCTTCTGGCCTCAGTTTTTTGTTTGTTTGTTTGTTTTCTATTTTTATTAGAGACAGGGTCTCACTTTTGCTCAGGCTGGGATCCAAGAGCTTTGTTATTTCATTTTCTCTCTGATAGAAAACAAGAATTTTCTTTTTCATAATATGAACATGTCTTCTCTTTTAGCAGGTAGCAACATTATATTTTTTTATAGTTATTAAGTTTCCTGTCTAACAGATAATGTTTCTAGATCCTAAAGTTATAAATCTGTTATACACCTGTCTCAAATTCGAGGGTCAATAGAATTAAATCAGAATCTTTTGTGAATAATGTCAGGCCAATCCTCCCACAATGAAGAAAGCTTGATGTGGATATTGATGAGGTTATTTGAAAGTTAACTAAGTAGAAAGATAGCATTGCAGTCAGAAGACTTGACTCTAGGCTAAGCCCTTTATTTTCAAAGTTCATGAATACTGTCATTTCCAACTTTAAATGTACTTTAGAAATGGAAGATTTTTGTTTTAAAAAATTGAAATTGGGGCTC